CCCCCCCCTCCCCCATTTTTGCACATGTTAAGGAGTGTGTCAGGTTACATTTCACTGTGTGTTATACTTGTATAACTATGCATGTGACAAATAAAGAACCTTGAACCTTGAACCTTGAAATACCCTCAAAATCTGGTTGGCTTTCAAGGTTTCTGGGAGTGTGTGACATCCAGTTTGTCCTAAACACCGTCAAACAAAGCTAGAAGCTGGTGAAGAAATAACTTTTATTTCCAGTTTTTTCAGAAATAAGTATTTAAAAACAATTATTGATTTTTGTGAGCTAATTCTGACCAGTCACAGCATAATTTTCACATTGTCCATTACCTTCTAAATCTGAGCAAACATGTCATTCTGTGCAACCTCTAAACCATTAAAAACCACCTTTACTACTGTGGATGACAGATATTTTGAAATGGCCACGAGATTTTACTCAGTCTGAGTCCACTGAACCTGCATGTCTTTCTCCTATTTCTGTTTATGAGATGTTTCCACCAGAAGTGTCAGTGGGAATAACAGAGCAGCAGGCATCAGGGCAGCATGAGCATCATGGAAAGTCTTTATAGTTCATTCATCATCATGTAAATATGCTGAGGATCAGTAATGGGAATAACGGCATTAAAAGTAACGGCATTAATAATGGTGTTACTTTTTTCAGTAACGAGTAATCTAACTAATTCCTATTTCTATCGTTGCGACGCCGTTACTCGTAATGAACAAGAAAATGCAATGCGGTCCCAATACTATTTTTCAACACATGGTTAAAGCTGTCTTCAGCTGACCGGGATATGGGGGTGGGGGGGTGGGGGGTAATTGCATGAGTGCTGCTGATTGGCTGAGGAAGAATAAAGTAAATTCAAATTTTCAAATTCAATTGTTGTGGTAAACCAATCACATGACCACTTTACCACTTTAAGATGACATAGTAACAAGGTGCTATGTCATGTGCCAGATTTTAAATTGTGTTGATAGGCCACGTAAAACCAGAGTCATGATAAAAAAAAGAAAAAAACATATACGATTTTTTTTTCTTAAATACTTTCGTCACAAACAATGCTAATGTTAATGCTAAACAAGGCTTTGTTCATAAACTATTAGACATGTGGAAAAAATGTGCTTAAGCGCATAGTGTCTGCAGATGCATGTGCACACAGATTGCCTGTTGATTGTTTGGTGGAAAAATGTACCATGTCAACCAATCAAAAAATGATATGGCAACATGGCATTTGGTTGTTTAGGAAAAGGGAGAAGTTTTAGGAGTGTTCTCGGTGAGAGAGCGAGAGAGAAAGAAAGAAAGAAAGAGAGTGGAAAAAAAAGAGAGAGAGAGTTTTGAGATGTGAGAGATTTGTGACGTTTAGTGTGTTCGGAGTGTGTAGTTAGTGTGTTGTCTTGCATAGTTAGTTTGTAGTGTAGTTGATAGCTTTGTATTGTGTGTCAGAACAATGAGGTGACTGCTGAATGTCACAGGTGCTGCCAAAAAGTCACCAAAGGCAGATTACAATGTAAATGGTGTCAGGATTTTAAAATTTACAATTTCTATTTGCATTTAAAGTTATGAAATATGATTCATTAAACATGTTTGTGGTTATTACAGTAAAAAATATCAGTTTTTTTCTACTCTCCTGATTTTATGTTTTATGTGTGATTTTAGATCAATTGTGTTTATACAGTATGTCAAAAAAAAAAAGAAATACAGTAAATTCAGACATGTGAGATTGTGCTGAAAAGAATGATGCAATACAAGGCAAGATAAACAGTTTTTAAAGGTGAATCGTAGAGGGAAAATCAAAAGTAGAGTTACACCCTGGACCCCAGAGGGTTAAACATTTTTTTAAGTAACGCAATAGTTATTTTTTCTAGTAATTAGTTACTTTTCTAATATTGTAACTCAGTTACTAACTTGGGGAAGTAACTAGGAACTATAACTAATTACTTTTTCAAAGCCCAACATTACTGAGGATATTGTGTGTTCAAAGTCAGCTGTCCAGGTGAACATTGTGTCCAGCTTGTCTCCTGCTGCTACAATCTAACACAGATATCTTTGTATTTATTTTAACCATGACTTTATTTCCTTCTGAGTATACTGTGACTGTATGGTTGTAAATATACATTATTTTTTTTTTTGTTTATTTAAAATGGCAAAAAGAGTCGAATGTCACCCTTTCAAAGTTAATTGCCTGTCCAGTTCATTCAGACTTTTGTTAGATTCTCCTTCAAGCTGTGTATGCTTCCTTGTGTGCCCACAGATGGGCTTTTAACTGCGATTGGTTCTGAGTCATTCACCCAAACACAGCTGCCCATTTAACTGGACATACAGACTGTATTACTGGCAAGCAGATCAGTGGTTACTTTACAATATGCTGGAGAAATTTTTTTTAGCTTTATTTCTTCTTTTCCTACCAGAGTATTTCCAGTTTCACATGTGGATCCTCCTTTAGAGCAGACAAAAGCTTCATTCCGGAGTCTCCTGGGTGATTATAGCTCAAGTCCAGCTCTTTCAAATTGGAAGGATTGGAGCGCAGAGCTGTGGCCAGAGAGGTGAAGCCTGTTCCTGTGATCTGACAGCCTGACAGCCTTCAAACACATACAACATGTCACATCATTGTAAGGAACTGAATTTGATTATGTAAATGCAGTCGAATTAACAGATTCAGATTTCAGTTAAAGTTGTTACAAAAACAAACAAACTGGCTTTTCTTCACTCAGTTTTAAAAAAGAAATAAAAGCACTGACTTTCTGTCTTTTTTGCTATGATAGACAATCATAAATAAAGTTATATTTTGGTGATTTATGAAGTGTGTGTTTTTCTACTCTACTGTTCTCTTTCAGAGTTTACACCACAACAGAAACAACATCAGAAACAACATCTTAAAATCTATAAAATAATAACAGTTGTGAAATATCCAAATCTCTTGAAACAAAGAGTCAGCTAACCTGAGAGTTTCCAGCATACAGTGTGGACTCCCAAGGCCAACACAAAGCAACTTCACTCCTGAGTCCTGAAGGTTGCTGTTACTCATGTCCAGCTCTCTCAGTCTGGAGGACTGGGAACTTAGAATTGAGGAAAGAGTTTCACAGCTTCTCTCTGTGAGGTTACAGCCACTCAACCTAGAAACATATCAGTATATCAGTGAACTTTCCAAACTCTAATAAATAAACACTTTGACGCAGTCTCTTGCCAGGATTAAACTGGATACTAGGGGTGGGTTTTGATCATCGATGTATCGATTAAAATCGATTCTAGGTTGGATAACATTAAAATCCTGAATTGATTTTTAAATATAAATTTATTTAGCATGAAACGCCAGAATCTCATATTAAACCTTACAAAATTTCAACAACCACCAAACAGCTAAAACAGTAAATGAGAGCAGGTACGTGGATTCTGCACAAAGATCTAAACATCGGTCGGCGGACCCACCAACGGATCAAAATCAGTGAGAAGTCGCCTTTCTCACCCGATGGCACAGGCATGGACAAGGTTGGGGCTGAAAGCCGACAGCTCGCTGATTCTGAGGTTTCGGCGGGCCCGCGCTTTGTGTTTATGCCCTTTTTGCGCTGATTCTGAAGCTGCAGGTTTTTATCGCTCTCCAAACAATATTGACTGAACCAGCAGCAAAAGAAGATCCAAACTACGCTTCACATTTTGCTTCACATAAACATCGTCATGAATTCCCTCTTACTTTTGCTGTTTTGCTTCCACCA